ACTAATTCCCCAGCCCCAATGCTAACAAAGACGGGCTAAATTGTACGGTACTCACAACACGCACCGCTGGCTGCGAAATGACATTTTTTAGGCAAATCCGAACGGCCGATTTGGCTAAGGGCCTCAAAAAGGTTAATTGGAAATCGTATGGGTCGTAAAATTCATGGCGCAAAGTCTTCAAAAAAAGTGAGGCGTGACTTTCTGATAATTTGTAAAACGCCAAATTTGCGCACCCATTTTGCAGAAAAATTAAACACACTTTTCCAAAACCTGAAAAAACTATTTTTAGCCGAAGCTTAATCCTATGTTTGTCTAAGAATAGATGAAGCTCAAGCTTGAGCCCGAACGTGAGCCGAGCCTGAGCTTACGCCACAAGATGTCAATTAATAGGTTTCTTGCAAAATTTGGATGAATTCCCGAGAAACAAAGGGGTCAAGAAGCTTGTAATTCTCTCTCTCTCTCTCTCTCCCTCTCTCTCTCTCTCTCTTTCTTCTCTCCCACTCCCGGAATGTTTATAAAAAGAGACGCGGAATGTCGACCCAAAGAATCAAAGAGCCACCAAAAAACGCTGAGTACGAAATGCTACTGCAAACAACAGTACGTAGCTGCCGGGGGGTTAGATGGATGAGTTGGTGGTGGGTTTTTTGGTGGCGCCTCGGATCGGATGGAGAAGGAGCTGCGGGCTGCTGCCAAGGCATAGCCCACCCACCCAAAAACGGTCCCAGGGGAGGAATATCCGGGCACGTGTATGCTGGGTTTTGGCTGGAAAAAGCATACTGCTGTGATGTAGTGCCGGAGGTTGAAGAGAATCAAAAAGGGTTTGATATTGAAATCGCATCTTAATAGAGCGTTGACGAAAAGCCAGGAAATAGAAAATCGTTGGTTGTTGCTTAGGCTTATGCTTAGACTTCGGGCTAGGCTTACAAGGAGTGTCCTTTTGGTGTCATCGGCAAAACGATTCGAGACCCAGATCATTCGATAGAGAATTGAATTCTGAACAAGACTGTGTTGTTCATTTTTGCGTAATGGCTGTCCCTGGTTTTATAAAATTAAAAAACCAAGCGCGAAACCTTAACAACTCGCTCCCGAAGCACCAATGTATGGGCGTCGCCGGCAGTTTTTTAATTTTATAAAATCAGGGACAGCCATTCCGCAAAAATGAACAGCATAGTCTCGTTCAGTTTAGGGCTGGGCTTAGGCTTATCTTAGGCTTAGCCTAGGATTAGCTGCGGCCTAGCTTAGGTGCAGGCTTATTAGGCTTAAGGTTTAGGGCTTGGTGCTTAGGGCTATTCTTAGGCTTAGGTTTAGACTTATTCTTGGCTAAGCCTGAGCTTAGGCTCGGGCTTAGCCTAGAATTCGGGAGTCTTCAAAAACATAGAATCTAGATTCTAGAAGCGATTGAGCTTTAAAGCTCAAAAAGCCTCTTTTTCATAAACCTCCTTCAATCGTACAAATTGAGCCGGCCGGAGAATCCGTAGCGTTGACGTGCCGGGGATGGGGGGATGCCTGAAAGTGGCATTGCCGCCTGTCTGTCTCTTCGGTTTGTATGTCTGTTTGTCGGTCTGTTATGGGCCACAGTTGTGGGTCTTCTTCTTCTTCTTCTTCTTCTCTTCTAGCCACCCCCTTCCACTCGGCTCCTTTCAACGGTTTTCTCGAATAAATTGCCCCGAAGGCCCCCAGCCACCATTCCACTGCACTGCTATGCACACAGACCGACAGAAATGGCCATCCCATTTGGCTAAAAGAAAGCCAGGCGGGTGGAGGCGGGGGGAAATTCGGTTTTCTTTTTGGGTTTGGGGTTGGAGAGTGCTTTGAATCGGAAGGGAGAAGCCTAAAAAACTTTGAAAAAATGGTAAAACTTGGCGGAAAGTTGATACAATATATATTGATAAACTAATTTGTTCAATTCGCTTTTAAACGAACGGTAGTTGGCATAAATGGTGTGGCCAAAAGGCAGGCCCCTTCAGAAAAACTTCGGTAACTTTCATTGGCTTGGCAGTTCTAAAAACCATTTTTTTCATTACGCAAATTCAAGAATGTTGATTTTTTGGCCATTATGCCCACATTTTTTATTAATTTGCTTTTTCAACCCATCCCAGGTTTTTCAGCGCAAAAGTCACCCGACACGTCCAAAAAATTCCCGGGTGAATTACTCATTTTTCAGCGCTCCAAACGTGACTCGAAAAATGGGCATATTTCGGGTACAACAGCGGGTGAAAAGCCGCCGCATTCCCGGCCTTGTAAACCCTAAAACATCACTGGAAAATGCGCGAAAAACACCGCCCGACCGACGGCTGTAAAAACATCAACCTGTACCAAATCTCTCTGTCGCTCGCGTGTAAACAGTGCAAAAACATGGTTGACAAAAAGGGGCGGAGCTAAAATTTTCGCTGGGTTAGGGCAAATTTTATAAAATCAGATCTTTTTCAACATCGGAAAACCTCGAAATTTCGTTTTAAAGGTCCAGGCAAGGCAGGGTTGAGGATTTTTTGGGGCTATGGATTCAGTATATGATTTTTTTCCGGGCCACCGGTATTTCATTGCGTAATGGATCGGTATAAATGCAATCGCGGCCGCGGCAGAATTTATAGAACACCCAGGTGCTTTTGCATTATCCGGGGGGGGGGGGCAATTTTTTATATGGGTCCAGAAACGCCTAGTAACGTAATAATCACTTATTTAATAATGTTTTAGTGACATGGAACTATATTTTTATTAGAAAACTATCTTATAAACTTTGTAAAATTTTTAAACTGAATTTTTTTATCGAAAAGCCGATTTTTTTTTCCTACGTTTTCCCTTGCTTGGTCAGGATTTTTGGGCAGTTTTTACGAATAATTTTGTTACATAATTATTAAAATGCCTTTTTAGCTACTTTTTGTTATTTTTTTTACACATAATACCTCCGTTGAACTTTGAATTTTCTATTCTCTGCCTTCCACCCATTCGCGTGGCGGTGACTTGCATCAAAATTTGATTAGCTACCTTTCCACGCTGGCTACCGTACCTAAAAAGTTCTGCTGAATTTTCTGGAGATAAGAAATTGCATAATAGCCGGCCCCTCACATGATTTTCCTCCCCTTCAATCTGCAACAATAAATGTGACTGCGCTGCCAAAAAGTACAGGTGATACCAGGCCGGGTTGGGGGAATTCTGTTTGCCTAACTGTTCCTCCCCGCTTTGGATCGGCTGGTCGAGTTTCCGTTCGGTACTGATTTGAAGAATAGATAGATCTGAATAATTTTTATTGGCCATAGGCCATGGATTAAGCCATTAAAGGGACCGGGAAGTACCAGAATCGACTCCTCCATTGCCTAAGTCTAGGCAGCTACGTGCTAGAACAAAACAAGGGTTTTTGTCAAGTACGTTCGGGCCGCAAATTCGAAATAAAGCGTTACTTTTGCATCAAATTAATTTTTACAGAGCTGCTAAATAGCTGTCTGCACTTAGTCGACCGGAAGGGGTCGATTCTGGCGCTTCCTAGGTCCTTTAAATGGGCCGATTCGGTCGAGGAACTTTTCCATGAAAAGCTCCTGGTTCCTCCGATCAACCCGCCAGACACAACGCGCCGCCGCCGAATTCCAAGAATCTTTAAGGAATCCATAACGAATAAAATCTATACATAGCCGTGCCTTGCCTGTCCCTTTAAAGGGATAAGCCTGACATTTATACCTCAAAAACTGAACGCACTTTGAGATTATTGTCTTTTTCACCCAATTCACGGCCATTTTAGCCTCATTTTATCGCTAATCAGCAGACATTTCCACCACCTTTTATGGGCCTGAAATTTAAGTGGCAAAGCAAAAGTTCATTAGCCAGGCATTGCAATCTTGTCGTAACGCGGCCTCCTCAAAAACACAACTTTCTTCTTTCACCAATTTTTATCATTTTTTCAAGTGATGGTTTGGTTTTCGGCTCGTCGGCATTTTGCAGTCGGCATTTTCGCTTGTCGGCATTTTTGAGTGTAGGGATTTTGGTCTGTCGGGAGCATTTTTGTTTTTCGTTTTCCCAAATTGGTCCTCCCTTGTCAGATTTCCCCCGCCGCCCCCCTTATAAGGTACAGGTGCATCCGAATACCGATGATGTCATTTCTATCCGATGTCCTTTCTATCCCTCCACCTGTCTGAATCCACACCCTCTCCATTGCAGACAATGTCTTTCCTTCCCATTCTATTTGGCCGTCTCGTTAATCGGTTTCCGCGTCATTTTCCGGCCGGGCCCTGTCCCGCAGTTCCAATTTTTGGTCATCCCCGACATCGGGGTGGGTGGAGGGATGGACACTTGTCTGTTTGTAGGTGCCATCTCGATTCGTTCATATGTCTGTCTGTCCGTTTTCCTGTCCGCATTGCTGGGATTTTATGGTCGGGCTGGCTGCCCAATCGCCATCCAAAAGTTGTAAGCCGACGTGAAAACAGATGGTTTTCTATCTGGAGCCAATGTTAGTTTGCTGATATCAATTTTGTGCTCATCATTATCTGATCATCTACTTTCTCTTGATTGCCTGCTATTGAAACGTACTTTTTGGCAAAAAAGAAGAATCTAAGCCAAAAGCTAAAAATTTGTCAAGGAGTTCAAGCGCCAAAAACATTTTCCTATCCATTTTTGACTAAAAAACGGCCTACAGTTGTAGTTTGTGGTTTTATGCTGTTTTTGTGAGTTTAGGCGTTGTTTTGTATGCCTTTTCGCTAATTTACTATCGACAAAGCCAAATTTTGCTGTTCCTGCCCTTTTGCATTATTGATTGCCGGAATTGTGCTTTAGTTTTGCCATTTAAAGACCAAAATTTTGGGCTTCTTTCATGCTTTTAAAGGGACTAGAAAGCGCCAAAATCTATCTTTATCGGCCAGGTCTAGGCATCTCCTTGAAATTGTATACTATTTGTTTGTATAGCCCGAAATATGTAACTTTCAGAATGAAAAAATTAGGTTTCCCCGTATTACGTAGCTGTCGAGACCTAATCGACCGAAGGGGTCGATTTTGACGTTTTTCCACCGTTCCAGATGACGGCCCGCGCCTCTAAACTCGGCCGATTTCTGCGAAAATCCGAAAATATCTTGTTGCTGTTGACGGTGGGCTCGGTGGTGGTCGGGTGCTTGTTGGGTACCCTCTTGAGGTCCGTCCCATCTGCCTAAAAGCCCAAGTTTTTCACAGATATGCCCATCCCAGCGCTGAAGCCATCCGATACATCGGATTTCCGGGCGAACTGTTCATGAACATGTTAAAGTGTATGATATTGCCGTTGATAGCGAGCAGTTTGATCTCTGGTGAGTGTTTTTCGCTTCTTTGAAGCTTTTCTTAAGAAACTTAGGCATATTTCTGGGCTTACGGCAATGCTAAGCCCGTGCTTAAGACCAGGCCCAAGCCTACGCTTGCCCTAGTTAAAGATGAAGCCAAATCCTAAGCCGACGCTAAGCGAAACCTAAGTTCAAGTTTAAGCCCAAGCTCTGTATTTTTTTACAGGACTTGCCGAACTTGACGGGAGAACCTCCGGCAAAGTTGGAACAAGGGCCATTTTGTACTATGTACTGACGACAACGCATGCAGTTATTGTAAGCCTTTTTTAGCTTTTAAAACTTTTTTTTAAGCTCGGCATCATCCTGGTGATGGTGATCCACCCCGGGGACCCGAAGATCAAGGACGAATACTCGGGGCCTAGAGAAGATGTGTCCATAGACAAGGCGACCGCTACGGACAAGTTTTTGGACTTGATAAGGTCGGCTGGTCGAGCAATACTCAAGTTTAGTCGTTTTAATTGGATAGCGACAGCAAGACGTTCGATTTTTTTGCCTGGTCTGATTCTTTTAAAGGGGCGAGCAGACCGTCGATTTACGGATTCTGCCGCGACACGCGACGCGCCGCCGCTAGAATCCGCCTGACGCGTTGCGTATCGCCGAAACGAGAAAATCCTGAGAAAATCCGGCGCCGGGAAAGTCCCTAATCATGCCTTATCGGTCCCTTAAAGGGACAATAAGTACATATTTAACTTTATTTAAATCTTTAAAGGTGCCACGAAGGGAAGAATTCCTTACCTTCGAGGTCACGAGGTCTTGACGCGCCTTGTGTATTGGAGTACCGTGTAGCTCGCGAGACCTAGTCATCTGAAAAGGTCGATTCCCGCCCTTCCCAGTCCCTTAAAAGCCAAGAAATGTTGTTTACCACGGTCCATTTCCAGGAACATGTTCCCCGAAAACATCATCCGAGCCCTATTCTCCCAACAACATACCGTATACGTCACCAAAAAGCCTGTAAATAACGGGACGACCACTGAAGTCCCAGAAGTCCAATATCAAGAGGGGATGAATGTGCTTGGTTAGGGACCTTAAAATTTTGGCCTTCAAAATTCGTAGGTCTGATCATCTTCTGCATCGTGCTGGGCATCGTCATCTCCCGGGTGGGCGCAAAGGCGCGGCCGCTTCGAAATCTGTTCAAATCGCTTGATGTCGTCATCACGCGCATGGTGACGCTTATCATGTGGTGGGAATTTTGTATCTTTGAATTTTATGAAAACTTGTCAGGATCGGCCCTGTCGGCATCGCGTCGTTGATCGCCTCGAAGATGCTCAGCATACCGAACTTGGCGGAGACGGCGCGGATGCTGGCGATGTACATGTTGACCGTCATTGCGGGTATGTTGTAGGGAAGGATGTATCCAAATTTTGGTTTAGGTTTAGGCTTGGCATAGCTTTAGGCTTAAGCACAGGCCGAAAATTTTCTCGAACTTCCAGGCCTCGCCATCCAAGCCTTCATCACCCTCCCGCTCATCTATTTCGTGGCTACGCGCCACAATCCGTACACCTTCCTCAAGGGCCTCGGTCAGGCCGTACTGACGGCGTTGGGCACGTCTTCAAGGTGTTTTCTTGGCCCGGGAAATGAGTGTTTTTTTTTAGTGCCGCCACACTTCCCGTAACATTCGGATGTTTGAACAAGATTGGAATCGACGAGCGCATTACGAAATTTGTGCTGCCGGTTGGCTCGATGGTTAATATGGTATTAGTTTGTATTTTTTGAGTAATTTTGGTATTGCACTTCCATTAGCACTTATCTGATATTTTTCATTCCAGGACGGAACTGCCCTGTACGAAGCCGTGGCCTCGATTTTCATTGCCCAAATGAACGGCTTGAATATGGGCATCGGCCACGTGGTTACGGTAAGGTGGGTGCAATCTAGATGCTCAGTTTCCTTGATTTTCTGAATTTTTACTTTTTTTTCAGCATCACCGCAACGCTGGCATCAATCGGAGCAGCATCAATTCCATCTGCGGGTCTCGTCACGATGATGATTGTACTCACAGCGCTCGAATTGCCCACCGATGATATTTCTTTGATCATCGCCGTGGACTGGTTGCTGTAGGTTACGTGTTAAACTTGCTGGTCTTGTTGTCTGTCACGCGCGTTGACAGGAATGTCATCCGGCTGAATCTCAAGAGACACGTGAACGTCTTCAAGTTGACGCAATGCGCAAAGACCTAGTTCCAGCGGCGCATAAACCTCTGCACGTTGACACAACGTGCTGAAGGGGGGGGGGGCTTTCAAAGGGCGCGTGATCGAAGTTGATGACGCGCAGAAACGTAATTCCACGGGCGCGTGAACGTCTTCAAAATATCGCAACTATCAGATTACTGCTTGAAGTACGCGCGAATGTCTTCAAATTGACGCCATGCTCGGACACGAAATTAGAAACAGCGCGTGAACGTCTTCAAGTCGACGCAACGCTGCATCAACTCAATCGCTTTTTTCAGTGATCGACTACGCACGTCAGTGAATGTGATTGGCGACGCGTTCGGCTGCGGTTTTGTTTACCATTTATGCAAGCATGAGCTTGATCATCTACCGCCACCCGACGACGCCGAAATCGACGAGATGCTCAAGGAGCACGTACGTGTTGCCACATTTTAGTGTTAACCTCAGTTTTCAAATGCTCCAGGGCGTCGACCTCGCCGAATTCCACGCCAACGACACCAAAAAGTGCCCGTTAAACGGTGGATTTTCGGCTGTAAATGGGAATCTGCGGGAGCCATCCGTGACCAGCCAAGTATAAGCAACGACACATGATGATAAATATTTATTCCGTATTTTGGTACATTGCCATGGCTGGCATACGGTAGCTGGGTACGGTAGCGTGGCGGCAGGGGGCCGTGCAGCGGATTCGGGGGTGAGATCAGTTGTAGGAGAAGTGCTGGTCCCGGCTGGCCACATCTTTTAGCGGGCGGTCGATCAGCGACTCGCGGTGGGCCTGGTCCCAGGTGATTTCCGCCTAAAAAAAGTAATTATTATCATGCTAACCCGATAATTTGATTAAACAGTAGGCGAAGGCGGAATCTAAAAGTCAGCTTCTTCCCCCCGCTAACACTCCAGTACCCTAAAATTTGTTTTGATCACCTTGACAAGCCCGAAACGGATGAGAAGCGGTGGCGGGATGAGAATCCACATCAACACGTGAGGGCCGAGCAGAAAGTTGAGGCGCTGCACTGGAAAAAGTAATATGGATGAGCATCCACATTGTAGCCTACTAAAGCTGGTGTCCTGGGCGTCGCCGCGGATGCCGGCCGCTTTGTCGTCCCGCTCTTCGTCATATCCCATACCGATCCAGGCTTGCCACAGCTGAAATGGGGGTTCTGGTTCGGGAGCGGGGGGTGCTAATTTCCTCCACTGTAACCATAAAACAGGGAGATGTCCGACTTACAATTTCAGTGGTGTAGGCGGCGCCCACGCTGAGGGCCGCTATGATGAAGAAGATCAGCTGGAATCGGGCGTATTAAATCGGGTGCTTTGGCAATATCGTGGGGGGTCATCGGCGGAACGATAGTAGGCATTTTGCCAGTGTTTCTGACAAAATCTAACTATTTTCACGCAAAAAACTGCCTAAAAACTTCTAAAACCTTTAAAAATTAAAGATTGCTTGAAAAATGGTCACCCTTGGTTGAAAAAAAACAATATTTTTGGCTCTTTAATCAATATTTGCAAAGTTTTGTCGTTTAGGAATAGGAATAGAAACGCTTGCCATACTTATATTAGAAAACGATGACACGGACAAGAACCTCGATAGTTTTTCGATAGTCAAATTTTTAAATTAACAAGTCCTACCGAAATTAAAGCCAAAATGCGGACGACGGCCGTGGAGAAGTAGAAAGTCATCACCCAGCCAACCCAGCTCTTCACATCAGCTTCACCACTTTCGAGCCGCATCTGAAAGAGCCAAATTTTAGTCAAGCCGCGTCAAATCTCTCACCCGCATCAGCTCGAGCATCGGCGCGATGTATTGCCCGTACAGTGGGTCCTCTGAGTCAACGACGCGCACGACGAAGAGGGCGCACGTCGCAACACCCCACGCGCCATAGGTGAGCGCCCAAAGGAAGTAGAGGAAGAAGAAGCGCTGAAAGAGAGTTTTGTTCTCTAAAAGGCGTTCAAAATACCGTATTGCCGACGGCGATGCAGCAGCCGAAGGCAAAGAAATGGTTCTCCTGGCGTAGCACGCATTTCTTGCAATATCGGCAATGGTTGGCGCGGACGGGCATGTTTCTGCAAGTCGTTTAAAGGGTCTAAAGCTTATAATAGCTAAGATAACCACGTTTAAGCGATAAGAGTCAATGAATACCAGTAAGTAATTAATTAATTAAACAAAAAGGAAAATCCTTACAGGCTACACTTCTCACACCACTTCCATTTCTCGATCTTGACCCCCGAGCAGTTGACCGATGGATTCGAGTGCTAAAATAGTTCGTTTTGCGTTAAAGAAACCAATTAAGCTTATGAGTAAGATAGCTTAATACAAAATTATAGTTAAAGGGCTGCCGACGGCATGCGTCGATCCCCCCCCCCCCCATCAACAAATTGGCAAGTAGCCAATAGGGCAGAGAGCGCGCCCTGGTGAGAGGCGCAGAGACATTTTCTTTCCAGCGCGTAATCGATTGGCTATGCCGTCGGCATCCCTTTAAAAAACAAATAACATATAAAAAGATCTAACTAAAAAATATATATAAAAAAGCCTACCGCCGATTCCACAGCCGACGAGATGCCGAGCCGACACAGCTGGTACTGGGCGCAGTTCCGACTGTAAATGTAACATCTTAACGCAATGACACAACGTACTTCCGATACTTCACCACGCCCCAAATGTTGCCGAGCATTTGGCACTGCAAATCAAGGTGTTATAAAAGAAGGTAGAGATCCTTACCATGATGTAGTTGGCAAAGAACAGTGAGGCGATGGAATAGTGGTAGATGGGTCCCCAGAACATGAAGACGCCCAGTTGACTGCCGAAAATCGCTGCAAAAAAGATATACAAAAATCCACGATCAACTTACTGATCAGCGCCATGAAGCTGCAGGGCAGGAAGTCGAGCAACGTGGCGACGCCGTACGTCCCCATCCGGTGGGTGGGCAGAAGCTCATCGCCGTGGCCCACAGTGCCGAGACGGAAACGCATCGTGGGTTGTGGAAATGGTGAAGAATGCCCCCGATTTTCGGGTTTATCGGATGGATTGAAATCTCGACGTCTAAATGTTTTATTCAAATTCGGTACATCAAATTGTTTTTCTTTTCTCTTTATTGTTTTGAGGTCAATTTCCTGGCGCTGTAGTTTTATCACCATTTATTTGGCTACCCACTGCATTCAATACAAGTAGAAAACACACAGGAGTGAAAAGCTGGGATCAATTTATTAAGGGGCGGGGGACACCAAAAACATCCAGGCAACGTGATAAATATGTGGGGCGGATTACACAAGGGGCTGTTGCTAAACTTATGAAGTTGAAAATTCGAAAGTCAAGCATTTCAGTAGATGGCCGTGCAGATCTTGGGAGCATCGGGGGCGTCGGGAGCGTTCTCTTCCGGTTCGGGGGTGGTCGGCGTTTGCTGTTGGCGTCCGGCCGGGCCCTCGCCGCCGAAGAGGGCAGAGAAGAAGTCGGAGCCGCCGAAGAGGCCTTTCATTTGCTGAAAAAAATTGAAAAATTGCCCTTTTATTCATCGCTTGAAAGACACATCTACGGTCTATCGATTTTCAAAAAACTAATGGCAAAGGTAAGGCGAAGCAGCGAGCTTTGTCCACCAACCTTCTGCATCTGCTTCTGGGCCCACTTCTGGTAGACGGTCATCTTCTCGTCAAAGTCCTAAATACACGTTTTTACGCCTAAATAATCAATACATACCTTCAGCTGCACAATCTCCGACTCGGTCAGATCACGGGCGTACTCGCGGCCAATGTAGACCTTGTTGCTCTAAAAATACAAAAGTTACAATCAGAAATTACCTAATTACAAGTAATTTTCCGATTGAAAGCTCACCTGAACCATGCATCCATCAAAAATGTATTGAGTGGTGTCCTCCTCCTTGCAGAACGAGGGCTTGGTGGGGGCCTTGAGGTCAGCCGATTGGGCGATCGAGTTCTCCTCGTCCTTGGTCACTAAAAGGAAATACAAAATTAGGCCTAAGCAGCGAAAAAAGGATTAAAAGTCCTAAAAACTTACTCTCACTGTTGGCGGTCATGCGGCGTTTCATGGAATCGCGACGCTTCTCGAGGGCCGCCTTCAGCTTCTGAAAAACATCGTTATTTCCCAAGAACTCAAAAGCCATTACCTTCTTGTAGTCGACGAGCTTGACCTGGTACTGCTCGAGCTCGGACATTTCGTCGTCGTTCAGTTGGCGCTGCTTGAAGCCGTTGGCGTACAGAGTGGTGCCCTAAATTTGTTTTAAAAATTGAAGTGAAATATACCGTAACAACACATCCCGTGGCCCCTCCAATGCCAGACGCGGCCAATCCAAGGGCGGCAAAGCGCTTCTCGCGCGGTGCCGCGTAGGCGCACGCGGCCAAGACAATCAGGATCGCGACTTTCATCTGGAAAATGTTTATATTTTCAAACTTGAAGAGTGGGCAGAAAGGAAAACGAAAAACAAGCAAAATAGATACAAAAGGCACCTACAAAAATAATCTAAAAAATAAAGGCTTGCAAGCGCAACATTGACGAAAAATAAGCGATATTCCCCGTATTTATAGCGAGTTTTTTGGCGGGCGGTAAGTCCGGAAAATGCTGCTGTTTGGGCGTAAATACCCTGCCATCTCGCCGAGGCAATACTACTAGCCAAACAGCAAACAATCCGGCCTGGAAAATCTGGCTCATCGCAGCACATAAAATAGGGGAGAGGGGTGGGTGAGGGGGTGGATGATGAACGCAAAGTATCCGAGACAATAGTGACTACTGCTGACTGTACATCTACATGATTTCAGCTGAATCGATAGATCTACGCTAAGTTTTCGATATTTTCTGAAAACCTAGCAGCGCTGTACGTCTAAATGTCGGCAGTCCGTCCAATTCGACGGTATTTAAATAGCGCGCCGCGAAATCCCTTGGCCGAATAGAAGGGTTTTGAGGACAAGGTCGTCCCCACCGACAACTCCGAGCTGTAAACAGTTTCAACAGACACACAGACAGACAGGGAAACATCCTCAAAGGACCAGGTAGGATTTGCTAGTATGACGAATAGGGGAGGTCGCCGGGCGTTTTATAGAAATTCCAGTGCAACGGCGGGATATCCCGCCGTTGGACTGGAAACTTTTGTTTTCGCCCGGGAGATGACAACAAAGACGTATGAGTCATTGGAAAATTGGGATACATTAAAGAGTTGCGAAGCATGTTTTACGTGATGATGCCATTTTGCTATACGCCATCTCAAAAAGCTTGAAATTCTGGATTAAATCGATCCTCCAAAACTGCCACACGAATGGGGGTCTGAAAGCTCAAATTTTGTTAAGAGGGGCGTAAAATGTGGAAAATTCGGCCCTTTAGACGTATTTTTCTCGAACAACCCAGTCTTTTGGCAATTTTTTTGAAAAATGGGCTTGTTTAGGATTTCAAGCTCTATAAAATGAACTACAACGCGTTCCGGAATACTTCATTATCGCGTAAAAACTACTGTGAACGAAGCGGCAACGCGATTTCCATAAAGGACGCCTAACGAAAAATCACATTTCACAAAATCCATGAAATGCACAAATGCTGGAGTGGCGCATTGTTAATTGCCGGCCCCGCGGTGATGGCTCCGGCTTTGCGAGATCCGGATCCATCAGAGGTCGACCGGGATGGCTGAGAGGCCGACCCACCCCCGAACTGAAATCAGCCGTATCGACGCGGAAAATGGGACGCCACATCCCCGGTCCAGAATAACTGGAAACGGGGCACTATATAGGGTCGAGTGGGCCCGGCACCACTATTTGGGCAGCCCGCATTTTTGTGGGGGTACGATTGTTTAGGTGTGGAAACGATAGATGTGTTATTTTCTAAAAAATGACAATGAAGCCGTTGTAGTGGCTGGTTGTTTTTTTTCGGAGGAGGGATGGACCAGCTAGAGCTTTGTTTTGTGATCAGTGGCTGCTAAAATAAACGTTACGACTAGTAAAAATGTCTTCAAATTAGACGAGGCAGCTTCAAAATCTGGGAATGGGCTCATAGTGGGGGGGGATAATAATAAACCTACATAGCCAAATTCTTAGCGTTTTCTGGTGTTTTTCGTGGTTTTTGATCACGAAAACTAAAGAAACTTACGAATTTTTTAACCATTTTTATACATTTTCTGCAAAAAAAATTAATTTTTATGACGCTTTTGATACTTCAAAACCGGCGTAAAAAACTATATAGATTGTTTTTATCCCATTCTTGACCGTTGACGGGCGAGGGCGAAAGGATAGATTTCAGCGAATCCCCGTTAAAATCTCCCCCGCTAACAGTCCAGTACCGCGTCGGGCAGCCTGTTCAAAATCAGACGAGGTTAAGCTAGAATCTAGCCTGCAAAATCCAGCGAATACAATGAAATGTTGCCTCCTGCGGCTGCTCCTCGTGCTGAAGCCGTTCGCCCGGGCGGCCAAATACCAGGAAACCAGGTTATCCGCGGCGGGGATATCGGCTTTCGCCTCGGTTGGACGACTTTTCCACACAGCCACGAACAAATAGGCCACGCACAACAAGCTGGCTGACACCCCGGAGATGCCCTGTTTTCCGGGGAGGTATCCAAGGTGGATGAGGAGGAGGAACGGCGATGAGTGATTGGTGACCTATCAGTGAGCCACTATGGCTTGTTTTCAACCAGGGCAAAAGCTTGGCGAATGCACATCAATCTTTCGGTCAAGGCGCCGCGAAAAGCTTTGTTTTGAGCTCTATGAATCAGCCGGGATGGTGGTGGCAGCTGGGAGGGGAACTTCGGAATTTGTAAAAAAAAAATGTCTAGGGCTTCGCCGCGAAGGTTCGATCTAAATCAATAAATTCGAGCCAAAAATGATAAATACCACAAGTAGAAACCGAATTTTTTCGTAAAAGCCCAGAAGTAACGTAATAGTAAGTATTTTACCAGCTTTTTAGTGAAATGTAACTTTATTTTAAGTGGGAAACCGATTTAAAACCCCTAAAAACTTAAGGTTCACATTTTTGGTCGACTAATCGATAATTTTTGTATTTTTTTTCTAAAAATTTGTAACATTTTTGCGTTTAGGAAGAGCTAAAAAAACAGTATAGAAACGCTTCCCCTTTTTATGCTTGAAAAATTGGAAAAGTTGTTTCCCCTTCTAGACTTCCCCCATCGATAATACCAAAGAACCCGAATTTCCTGTAAAAATTCCATCCTGAAATATTCATCTTCTTGACGTTTTTATTTGCTTCCATTTCTGTCCTCAGCTTTTCCAAGAACGTCCGTTTTTCCGTTCTCAAAATTCCGCCCTACCGCGCGCTCCAAACTACACCTCGTCCCGCTGCGATGCTTACGACATATTTGCGCCCCGAAATCATGATGCTAAACCGCTTTGCTTGCCCTTTCCTCCCGCTTTTGTTGACCCGATTGATTGGCTGCAATTCAGATGTGCGACTACGACAAGTACAAGGAGCAGCTCCGCCATGTCGACAACCCCGTCGTCTTCATGGAGCTGACGGCCGGCGGCGCACCGATTGGCACGATTGTTGTGGGTTTTCTATTTTCGAAAATAATCTTCTGATTTAGATGGAGCTCTACGCAGACGTATGCCCAAAGACGGTCGAGAATTTCCGACAACTTTGCACTGGAGAGTACAGAAAAGTAGGATTTTTGTAAAACAACATAAATCTTGTTTCTAGGACGGTGTCCCGCAGGGCTACAAGAATTCCCAGTTCCATCGTGTCATCAAGGATTTTATGATTCAAGGTGGCGATTTTATTAATGTAGGTTATAATCGTTAGCTGGATGTACGTTTTTTGCAGGGCGATGGCACCGGATTGATAAGCATTTACGGGGCTAAGTTCAAGGACGAGAACTTTGATTTGACACACACGGGCGCCGGAATTTTATCGATGGTTGGCTTTCATTTTGCAATATTTAACGTCCGTTTTTAGGCGAATTGCGGCCCAGACACGAACGGATGCCAATTCTTCATTACTTGTGCAAAGACCGATTTCCTCGACCAAAAGCACGTCGTATTTGGCCGTGTGCTCGAAGGACTGCTCACCGTGCGTAAGATCGAAAACGTGCCCACCGGAGCCAACAATAAACCCAAAATCCCGATCGTCATTACCCAGTGCGGCCAATTGTGATATACATTTTTTGTGTGCTTATGCTGATCCATGCTTTTAGCTGTTTACGTGTATTTTTGGTCTCACGTTGTTAACCTTGTTTTCCGTTCGCAAATGATAAACATTCATATTCAATATTATAGCATTTTGCTTGCGATTATCGCTAATTATTTTAGTCTTTTTAACTTGTCTATTTATTCAAATGAGTGTTTAGTAAAAGATGGATCGAGCCACAACATCGGCCTCTTCCGAAGGCGAATATAGGTTTAAGGTGATTCATTCGGGTTTCTCGTAGTTATCAGTATTTAGGTTGTATTACTTGGCGAGGGTGCCGTCGGAAAATCGTCGCTGATGCTTCGCTATGTAGAGAACAAATTTTCTCCAACGCATTCTAGTACGATACAGGTAGGTGCTTTTTATGTGCTGAATTTCCGCTTTAGGCTTCATTTTTATCAAAACGAATCGACCTCGGGGACCGGCACGTCGACCTGGACATTTGGGACACGGCAGGGCAAGAGAAATATCACGCGTTGGGGCCGATTTATTACCGGTGAGCTAAACAGACGATTTAAACGGAAACAGGCGTTATAATAAAATAACTTTAATAAAACTCTCCAAATTTATAGCGGCAGCAACGGGGCCCTGCTCATTTACGACATTACCGATCAACGGTCGTTTGAAAGGGTAGGTTCACCATGCTGACATGCAGAGCATTGCACTTTTCAGGTAAAAGTTTGGGTCCGGGAACTCCAACGAGCGCTGGGAGATACAGCTGTTCTGCTCGTGGTTGGCAACAAGCTTGATCTGGACAAGGAGCGGACGGTGCCGAGGGCGGAAGCTGAACAGTGGGTTCAATCAAGAAATTCAATCGAGACTAGCCCTCCAATCCGAGATTAGCTAAACCCTTTACAGGTACGCAAAGAGCGTCAACGCCGAGTACTTGGAGACGTCCGCCAAGGAGAACATTGGCATTGCTGATCTTTTTGAACGGATTTCGGCTTGTAAGTATCAGAAAAAACTACACGTAACCCGAAACTTTTAGTGATGGTGGACCACGTCGAGAAGCAGCGTAGCGCCCAAGTCCACACGACCACCTTCACCACGTCTCGACGAGGCATCCAACTTGTCGATGAACCGCAGCAGCGCGGTTCTCGCTGTTGCAAATAGGCATAATAATTATCCCTGGTCCGAGACTTTCGATTGAAACTGGTACCCTGTCATCCCTAACCCCTTATATCATCTGTCAAATCCATTTATTCGACTTGTATTGCATCCTGTATATCACAACATGAATCCAAGGCCCGATGTCCCGTCATACATATAAGAAAATTCTATACATTTTCATCCCGGTGTCAAGATAAAATAAAAAACATGAATGCACATGAAATTAGTGGAATCGAAAAATACAATACAAAGATCCAATATTATCACGTTTTTATGCTTTTTCAGCTGGATTGGAGGCGGCCTCTTGTTTCTGGGCTTCTTCGGCAATCTACGGCAAATTTAGGCTTCCGGAGAACTGGCGCTTACCTTAGCACTCAATTTTCTGGCAATCAACGCGGCTGGGAGGATTAGAAGCTCGCTTGGGTGGAAGGGCAGGAAGTTTTCGTTGCCTAAACAAAAAGAAATGAATTTCTGGCTTTTCTTCACCATGCATTTGTTCCAGCGATTGGCCGAGACCGCCATCCGGTTGTTTCGGGGATTTCTGGAAAATTAATAACATAGCAATATCTGGTAAAATAGAAAATACCTCAAGATGTGCAACGAGCTCCGGCGACAATTCGACGGGTTGGGAGAACGTGTAGAAGTCGACGCCTCGCCAGCGGAGCATCAGTCGAATCGCGTAAAAATGTCTAAAATACGATATATTTTTAGCAGTACGTCAACAAACCCTTGTCCAATCTGCATAATGTATGGCTGCAGGACGATGAATGGCGATGCTGGGCTGGCCAGACGAGAGGCCGCTAGCCGCTTCACCTTCTCTGCACAAACCCGGTCGGCCGCTTCGAGCGAGAGGCTGAGTCGAGAGCTATCGTCTAAAATAATTGTTAACCTTCAATTTTATCAGTAAAGGTAAAAAGCCCACCTTGCGGTACGGGGACACCACGAACAACAGCACTGTTGAAGACGCGCTCAAAGCCTTGGCGGACAGCCGAAGATACCTAAAAATACGAAAAAAATGAGACTGGCAACCTTGTCACTAACCATCGGATCCTCGGTGGCAACATGCAGCTCGACGAGACCACTGCCGTCTCCCATAAAATCCTTCATCCCAGGGTCCAGCGTGGTCAGTACAGTTTCCATTCCCACCTAAACAGCCATTTTCAAAAGCCGACTTTTTCAAACCTTCGCCTTCTCGGCCACTTTCGATAGGAATGTGTTCTCGTGCATTTGCTTCGTCAGCCAGTCAAACATACCCTCACCAGATCCTTCCTGAAAAAACAATGCTTTAGGCAAGCTTTGAAGTAACATCGCTAGCTTTTTTGCAAGCCGTAATTTGCAATTTACCGTGGGCTGAGCCGTATCTGATTTCACGGGCTGCGCCTTGGGTGCTTCGGCTGTTGCTTCCGGAACCCTAGGTGGCGGTACAGGTGATACAGGTTGAGCAGAAGGCGGGGAAGTTTCACGAACGGCAATATTCGGAGGCGGCCCGGGATTCTGCGGAGCTACTGGAGACAGGGCAGCCGGCGGAGGGGGCTGCACGTCAACATTATAATGTGAAAAGCGTAGGCAATATTACCGTGACATTTTTAATCGGAGGTTGCATGGGTGGTAGAGGTTTTCCGGCTGCTGGTGAGGGTGAAGGCTGTTTCGGCATGGCAAGGGGTTCCTAAGCGATTGAATAAAAAATGGCGGAAATACCGGTGTTTTCGGCACTTCAACAGTCGATGGAGGTTGGGCCAAGATGCTGACCGGCGGTGGGGGCAGGGGAGAAGCATTTGGCGACGGCTTCGTGGTTGAACCGAGCCCAGGAAGCGCAGCTGGTGGTGGTGGAAGACCAGAAAGAAGCGCGGAAGGGGAGGCGCCTAAGGAGACGAAATAAAAAGGTTTCTCAATACGTACTGGATGCTCTTGGTGCAAATGGATTGGACTTTCCGGTGCCCAGCCCAAGGGATTGCAGGTCGGGAAGCGCAGACGGAGGTGGTGGTACTGCAAATGGCAAATTGACAACTGTTCTGAATAAGACACGTGATCCAAATGATAAAGCCAACCTTTATTTTCAGCCATCGCTTTTCTTTACGATTTTGCGTCGGGGGAAAACAGGGTCGTGGTGGTGGCGGATCACTGGCAAATAGCCACCCCGTGCAGAGCAGCCCCTCGTATGCGCTCGTAACAGCTGAACAGGCCGCCGTAATGGCGATTCAGCCCAAACCAAGATATATGAGTAGCTGTAAACTCCCGGTCCAAGTAATTCTTGCACGCTTGTAGTTCTGGCTTGTAGACCGTGCATGGATTATATCATGTGATTGTCAACAATAAAATAGGAACCACTGTTTATTCAAAAAGGCGTGGCGAAAAAAGATAAACGATTACAAAACGGTCAGTACAAAAAGTTTGCTTGAGGGCGCAATTAATAGCCGCCACGCAGACGAAGCACAAGGTGCAGGGTGGACTCCTTCTGGATGTTGTAGTCCGAAAGGGTACGGCCGTCCTCGAGCTGCTTGCCTAAATTCAAAAATGGTAAGAGTTTGAAAAACAAGTTGGAAAAGACGGCAAAACCTTACCAGCGAAGATCAGGCGCTGCTGGTCCGGGGGGATTCCCTCCTTGTCCTGGATCTTAGCCTTGACATTCTCGATGGTGTCAGAGGCTTCGACCTCGAGCGTGATGGTCTTGCCAGTGAGCGTCTTGACGAAGATCTGCATACCACCGCGCAGACGGAGGACGAGATGGAGGGTCGATTCCTTTTGGATGTTGTAGTCGGACAGCGTGCGTCCGTCTTCGAGCTGCTTGCCTGAAAACACAACATTGTCAGCAAAGATCGCCGATCACCGTGAAACCCGAAAAATAAAACTTACCAGCGAAAATGAGACGCTGCTGGTCTGGAGGGATGCCTTCCTTGTCTTGGATCTTGGCCTTCACATTTTCGATGGTGTCCGAGGCTTCCACTTCCAAGGTGATCGTCTTTCCGGTCAAGGTCTTCACGAAGATCTGCATTCCACCACGAAGACGAAGAACGAGGTGGAGGGTCGACTCCTTCTGGATGTTGTAGTCGGAGAGCGTGCGCCCGTCTTCCAGTTGCTTTCCTGCAAATAAGAAAATTACAATACACGACAAACAAATCCCAATAAACACCGCTCGCAAAAACTTACCAGCAAAGATCAAGCGCTGCTGGTCCGGCGGGATTCCCTCCTTGTCCTGGATTTTAGCCTTGACATTCTCGATGGTGTCCGAGGCTTCCACTTCCAAGGTGATCGTCTTGCCCGTGAGGGTCTTCACGAAGATTTGCATTCCTCCGCGGAGCCGCAACACGAGATGGAGGGTGGATTCCTTCTGGATGTTGTAGTCAGAGAGCGTACGGCCATCTTCGAGTTGTTTGCCTGAAAGAAACAGTTTCTATGAGGCAGACTTAAGATAAATAAAAGAAACCCTGAAGACCTCGAATGTCTACAGCATGGTTTTTCTCAACATTCACAGCCCCGACGGGACTCGGTCAAGATAAGGAATATGCCGCAGGGAGCGGGCATCTTCAAAAGGCAAAGAAGCGCCACACAGCCCATATTTTTGGATTTAGCAAAAGCGCAGCCACACATGGTGACGCTGCCAAGTTGCGAGGAGGAAACCTCCAATAAATCCAAAGATTCAATCCGGGGCGGAATATAAATAAAATTTACCGGCGAAGATGAGACGTTGCTGGTCCGGGGGAATGCCCTCCTTGTCCTGGATCTTGGCCTTCACGTTCTCGATGGTGTCAGAAGCCTCGACCTCCAAGGTGATCGTCTTGCCAGTGAGCGTCTTCACGAAGATCTGCATGCCACCCCGAAGTCGGAGGACCAAGTGCAGGGTTGACTCCTTCTGGATGTTGTAATCGGAGAGGGTGCGGCCATCCTCGAGCTGCTTTCCTAAAACAAAGAAAATTATTAGGTGACGAATTATAAGCGTTGAAAAAAAACAATGAGGCTTGCGAAAACCAACCAGCGAAGATCAAGCGCTGCTGATCTGGGGGGATGCCCTCCTTGTCCTGGATCTTGGCCTTGACGTTTTCAATGGTGTCGGAGGCTTCGACCTCGAGCGTGATCGTCTTGCCGGTGAGCGTCTTGACGAAGATCTGCATACCACCGCGCAGACGGAGGACGAGATGGAGGGTCGATTCCTTCTGGATGTTGTAGTCGGACAGCGTGCGTCCGTCTTCGAGCTGCTTGCCTAAAATAAAGGAATAGAAGTGAACAAGAGCGAAATAAAATCATTATGTTTGAAGCCGAAACTTACCAGCGAAGATGAGACGCTGCTGATCCGGGGGGATGCCCTCCTTGTCTTGGATCTTGGCCTTGACGTTTTCGATGGTGTCCGAAGCCTCGACCTCGAGGGTGATGGTCTTGCCAGTGAGCGTTTTGACGAAAATTTGCATTTTCTGAAAATGAATAATAAGAAAACTGTATGAGAGTCAGAAAAAGGGCTGGGAGAAAGCATTGAAAAGCGGACGAACCAAAGCAATGTGATATGGGGTGAATGAGTGAAATATTTGGGAAAGGGACAGGAGCGCGAGGATGGGAAATGCAAATGGTGGGCGAATGCAACGAATGAGCGACCAGAGCTGACGAAAATGGGACCCGATATTCGAAAGAGGCAGATGCTGATTCAAATCGCGGTCCCGAGTGGAAGTTTCGTATATTGGAATGCTCTGGAACGGTCTGGAATTTGTTGCGACACTAATGACACGATGATAACAGAGGGCAACTCGTTCCTAAATGACCACGGGGAGCCCTAAAATGACAAAACTCTAGCAATAATAGTGTTACAACAGACATTGCAAAAGCTTACGCGTGAGAGACGCTTCGCGAAATCGTAGGCTTATCGATTCTGACCCAACCCTCGAGGGGCGGGCAGCGGCGTCCCCCCAGCGGTCACCCCCGTTACGAAACGTTGCTGGGAGCGCCGCGTCAGCCATGACCACGCGGAAAATATGGTGGAAATGACAACAATAAAGGCCCAGGAAAACTTTCCTTTCCTTCCAATTCAAGGGAAATTTTAGTTAGTTTATGCCATAAGCTTGGGCTCTCCTAAAAGGCATTATTCTGAACCGGAATCGGGGTATCTCGACTTTTTAGTGCATCTTCACTGGGAAACGCTTCCGGACAAAGATATTGGCTCTTCAAAATCAGCGATAAAGCTCGTAAACTAAAATAGACTGAATTCAATGTGTTTTTTTTGCCGAAAGCACCACGTACTTGGTAAGCTCAATATTTATTAAGGTCAGCACAAAGGGGGGTGAATGATTGCGCGATTAAAATAAGAAATATGGTGGTGTGAATAGAATTGTGTGTGTTGTGTACAGCGAGCGTAAGTGTTCGAAGGCAGAAAAGTCAAGGCAAAGTAGCAGGTAGCAGAGCAAGTCGAGCATGCATCTTTGGGACCTCCATTTTGGGCAATACGTGGGGCAGATACATGGGGGTGTGACGCTTCGAATCTACAGGGTGTCCCAAAAAAACCCCCTCGGCATTTGCGTCTTCCATCAATCGGGACCAAATTTTACCAGTGATGGGGACCCATAAAAACTATGTGCAGCCAAATTTTCTAAGCAAAATATTGTAAAACAAAGAAGATATATCAAAATTAAGGTTAATTTTGCCGATTTCACAAGGATTTTGACGGATTTCGGCCTCGAAATGTTAAGCAAAACTGAAGAGGGCGCTCTTTTCTACCTGTAGAAATTTTTTGATTTACGAAAATTACGTTTAAATTGGGCCTTTCGATCACTTTTTATTATCGAAATTGCCAGAAACTGACCGAGAAATGACCATTTTTTGGAAAATTACTCAAAATCCGCATGCTAATTGCGAAAACATAGCCAAAAACGAGTACCAGCGTTTTCCAAAAAACAGTTTTTTAGCGATAACTTTTTGGTTTTACAATATTTTGCTTAGAAAATTTGGCTGCACATAGTTTTTATGGGTCCCCATCTCTGGTAAAAATTTGGCCCCGATCCGATACAAGACCGCCAAATGCCGAGGGGGGGTTTTTTTTTGGGACACCCTGTAGTGCGGGATGCAGAGCCAAGAAACTTTGGACTATTCAAAAAAACAATTTGGTATCCTAGCTAACACTTACAGCAGACAATGGGCCAAACGAAACGGCGAAATAAACTATGTGAGGGGCTGAAAACATAATACTAGTGCTTCAGGGCAAACAATTCGGCGTAGAGAGGTTCGTCCGCTATTGAGGGGAGAGGTGAAGATATGGCGAATCACAGTACTAACGAGAAGCTATAAGGCGACCGGGTTTTCTGGGCAGGAGGGGTTGAGCAACAACAAGCCAAAAATTATGTGAACAACGAGACGCCGGCGAGGTTTTCCTTGGTGACGATGCCGGGGGTGAGCTGGGCCTTGGAGAGGAAGTTCATCGGGAATTCGACGAGCACGCCGTTGACGTCGCGAAGCCTGAAGAATGACGTTTAAAACCCGTAAATGATGAAGCCTACCTGGCTTCCGCTTCTTGGGGGTGTACTCGGCCAAGGGCATTGTCGACTTCCACTTGGCCAGCTCCTCGAACGATTCGACCAGATCGGTGGGGAAGGTGTGGAAAATCTAAAGAGGGTCAAACTATAAAGTACCATAATAGCTTTACTTCTTCGTATATTTTGGTGTTTGTCCGGGCGGTTTGTTGCCAAACGTCGACGAAGAAGGAGGCGGAAACTGGGTCATCTAGCGAGACCTGGAAAAATACCAAATTAAAAACGGCAAACTTTTGATACCTGTTTTGCGAAGCCAGCAGGTCGTCGCGCGTCCGGCAGCAAGCCGAGATGTTCCTAGAATGGGCTCATTAGAAAATCGTGACGTCTGGACCCAACCTGCATACACTTGACCCTCAGGCTCTTCGCAAACTTTCCAGCTTCATACGGCTTGCCATCCATGATCGAGCGTTCCCGTGATGTGTCCGTGTAGACCATGCACACCTCAGAGTCTCTGTTACCCGCCTAAAAAAACGAAATTCAAAGATCTAGTGAAGTTCACGCCGAGGAAAAATTTCCACATCACACCTGCGAACGGTCGTTGATGTTGGCCGAGCCGATGATGACGTGCTCATCATCGACAATCATCAGCTTGCAATGGATGTAGATCAGTTCGGTCACCTAAAAGCGGATGTTACCGCTCTACCGCAATTTCTCGTTCTTTTGAAATATCGGGGGGGGCTTTTCTCATCATTTAAAATATACACAGCGTTCAAGAAGGCCTTTTGTGGTCCCTAGCCGTAAAAACCGTTACGACTATACAGTAAAATAACAAAAAAATTACCAATCTGCCGGTCAGAATGTCCCACGTCCGCAGCGAGTTCACCGACACGTACTGCGCCGGGTCCTCAACGCCGCGCTTCTTCAGCGTGCCAAAGAGGGAGAAGTCGCCGCGGGAGAGGGACTCGTAGGTCCAGTGGAGGATCACCTAAACCAAAAATGAAGTAAAAAAAGGCTCTGAGACTCACTTGTAAGCTACTACCACCAGGTGCGCCGACGTCTCCCTCAAACCCGGGCATCAGCGGGATCAGCAGGTAGAAGCGGAAATTTTCACGGGCCCTGAAAAAAGTTTTTTAACGGAATTTGGACCTGGATTTTTTAATTTTAAATTTCTTTTCAACCCCGAAAGCGCGTTTCATATGTTTCAGGACTTGAGGATGAATTGGCGGCGGCTCCTGTTTACCCACGACAAACAGCCACTACCACCTTCAGACCGGCTCGGGCAGTCTACATCAACGGCGGTCGATAATTCTACCCGGGTTCCATTTCGCTACTAGTTCGTTTTTTGGGGGTGTCAATAGACCTCTGACGGAACTGCTACATTTTTAAAATTTTTTTCGCCGATCAACGCCCCATAAGTCGAGATGGTCAATTTGATGGTGAGTTTATTCTATAGAAAATTTCGTTCTTTACTATTTTACGGGAGGACTTTTTCTAACAAAAGAAATAAAGTATTTCTGCAGTGTTTTGAAATACTTAGACGTAAAAACACCCCAGTTCATCCTAAAAAAATAAAATAAAAAGATTTTTCGACCAGCACCGGCCAATTTTCGACCAAAATGTCGAATGCCAAACATTTTCTAACCTTTTTACCAATTTTCCCCCTTAAATATAGCTAAGTTTTACCAAAACGTTTAACAAGATAATTGCTAGTACAGTGTTTTTTATTGGCTTTGTATAACATTTTTAAGGTCCCTCGTCCGCTTCACCTGGCCGCAATGTCACCCCTTATCATAATTATCGTTCCAACAGTTGCGATGGTCGTCACAACAATAGTTGGGGTTATATTCGTCGAACGGCTAGTATACGCAATCTACTGCAAGACCGGTAATACTCGGAAAAAGACGTGAAACAATTTTTAGCGCGCCGTTCACAACCACCTATCCTCAAAAAGTAGAATTTGCGGAAATCAACCCACTGATGAGCTCTGACGATCCGCTCGACAAGCACCCGGCAGATCTCATTGTGCACGTCGGCGCCGCCGGTCATCGAGATGAAAAACTGGTTCTCCATGTAGACGTAGTGCTAAATATGGATAAATATTAATATATTTAACGTGTTCCCACCTTGCTATTCGCAATCAACGAGACATAGGCTTGCTGGATTGAATCCTCTGTCCGGTGCATCATCCCAGACCAGCCCGAAAGAGAACGGAGCACCTGAAGAGCAAAATTAAATAATTTTTGCACTGCTTGTATTTTCCTGGTTTTTCTAAATATTAAAAAATCTCTAAAAAAGAATTTCCAACACAAACCTGTGCATTCACCGGGTCGGCAATGTTCTTGAAAATTCGGGGCACCTTCAGGTTTTCATAGCTTTTCGGTAGGAGGTAGGGGTATGCGGCATCATCCTGAAAACGAACATTTTATTTTGCTTCGCTTTAATGGCTAGAAACGCCGATATCCCATCTACGGACGTACCTTTAATTTCTCCGTCTTGGTCGCATTCCATCGCTGAATAAAATGGCGGGCCACGTCGCGAGCTGATTGGCCAAAGGTAACTGAGTGGATGTCGTGCCACGGCATTCTGGGTGTCATCCCACGATCGATAAAGTCTAAAAAATCCAAATTTTTTCAAAATCTTTATACAAACCATTAAACGG